GAATCAAGGAATTCACTTTAGACGGGTAATCCTCCGGTGGTCGTTGCGCTGGAACCCCCATCCCCTATACTACTTTTCTTTCTTCCTTTCTTTCTTTCTTTCTTTCTTTCTTTCTTTCTTTCTTCCTTCCTTCCTTTCTTCCTTTCTTTCTTCCGTCATTTCTTTCTTTCTTTCTTTCTCGCTCTCTTTCTTATTTGAAAAAGGATTGGAGTTAGATGAGTGATTCCACATAGCGGCTCTTCATCCACAGAATCCTATTGCAATTTATAAACTGTCGTTTAATTTGCGGAGTGAGGAAAACCGGAGAAAACCACTCGAAGCCCAGAAGAGAACCAAAAAGCAACGTCCTCTTCTCGAAGCCGAGTCCGGGAATCGAATACCGGGTCGCTTTGGTTTATATACGCCCGTGCTTTACCTTATGCAAAATGTTCACTATTACATTTCTCACTTGATGAAAGAAAGACCACACGTAAAATATAGAAATCATGAGAGTAGGCATGTGAAGATAACGAGACTGTTTTACGGCGTTCCCCATACAATCCTAATCATAGAAGATAGGTTTTCCACTAAAACTCACATTTAAGTTGAGTTGGTTTTTAAATAAGTTGTTCTCTCCCTTGCCACGGGGATTGTTTTTGTGGATACTCCGGCTTGGTGCATGAAGGCCAAAACACCTGAAAGTGCCTCCTGTTTGTCGGCTTAAAAACAAAAGACTCATATTGAATAGAAAAATGTCCTCTTTAATAATCACAGATTTTTGTGCTCGCCGTACAAACTCAACACTATGTGAACGCTACTTAGAAGTACGCACTACTTTGAATTTATCAAGGATATTGAAAGACAAAGAAAAATCCAGATCTTGTTTTAGAATGTGCAGTGGGTTTTCGAGGCAAGGAGATTCGGCCTTCCATTACAACTGCTTCTGTGACGAGCTCTGTGGACATTATCAAGATTGCTGTGTTGATTATCATCTATGGTAAGTCAGTAAACTATGGACTGCTTTACTTTCCCATTCCAAACCTCTTTAGAATTGATTCCAATATTGCGCGCATGCGATCGTTGCAGATGCAGGTAGACACGGTTCATCTTAACGGAATCTCGCGACGTCGTACGAAAAAGACGCGTCTATCATTGTGCGCAACCGCTGCAGAGGTAGACACACGGTTCATCTTAATATTTACCAGCGACGTCGTAGGAAAAAACGCGTCTTAAATACCGTACTTAAACTCATTGATAATGCGCCCACGAAGCTTTTTTGAGTTAATATTGAGCATGTATTTATCCCAAAGGTGCAAAAGTAGTTCAGAAGCAGTTCATACAAATTTCACCTGCCGCTTTGTTCACGGAGAGAAGCGAACTGGATTTCTAATGATTGACACCTGTCCATCAACATTTAAAAGTAAGATCTTGAAGCAGAAATGCGAAGAAGAGAGTGACGAATTGCTGACAATTCTTCCCGTTACAGACGCGGCCGTGAAAACCACTCTTTACAAAAATGTGTTTTGCGCCTTCTGTAACGAAGCTAGAAATCTCAAGTACTGGAAAGTCGAGATTCCAAAAAACTTTGTTAAAAATGGGGGAAATCAAACGTTGGAAGAAATTTTGGCGCAGACAAAAAAGTGGAAGTTTATCAACCCCGACAATTACAGTAAATACCTTAGTTACTGTAAACCGCAACATCCAGGATGTAAGAATGGAACCTCATTGGCTCATTTGTTGCGCATGAATAAGAGCGAGTTAGAAACTATTTGTAACTCCTATTCCTTTCCACTGGAGGTTTGTCATCGAAGTATTTCTAATGGAAAAATTCACAGAAATTTGCATTGCATGTTGTGTGATGGGATTCGAATTCGCTACAATGACACTATGAGCTGCCATGATACGGAGGGGGGGCTCATTTCCCAGACTATTGCGTTCGACTTCGTAGCTCACGACAGCGCAGGAAACCCTCAAGATAAAGAAACCACCCGAACCATACGCTATCGCTGCGATGCCATGTCTGCTTACAATCCGTTTACAAACAAATGCCATAGTTTAAACGGAGAGAGCACGATGAATAACAGAACAAACGTTTCAGGACAAGTAATTAAGAAAGTACAAACGACTCTCCTCAATTCCACGTGCATGGAAGTGTCTGGAAACAGTTCTCAGAATATTTCTGTTCTCTCAAATGGTTCTCTCCTCATCAATGGAAAAATACGCGAAGATATAAAACTTGAGGTAATCGATAACAGTTCGTACATTTGTTGGAATAATTACACTGAGTCGTATACATCCCGAGGGCATCCCGAAAAAGGGCCACACAAAACCGTGTTAGGAATAATCACGGCTGTTTGTTTTGCCCTCTCTACAACTTGCCTTCTCTACCTTCTTGTCACTTACACCATCTTTCCAGAGCTCAGAACAACTCCAGGAAAAACCGTCATGAGTCTGTCATGTGCGCTAATGCTATATATGGCTTGTCACTTGCCCCTGACGTCAACCTCGTACCCAGTTCTCTGCGTTGGTAACGCAATCGTCCTTCACTATGCAGTGCTTTCTGTTTTTGCGTGGCTGAGTGTCCTCGCTTTCGATATTTCCAAGCGCTTCGGAGGCAAAGGTTAGAATATAATGTTTACATGGATGTATTATTCTGGGCAAAATACAATGGTCGGCCGTGGTGGTCGATCAGCTGGCAGTGATCGTGGTCAGTCGGTTGGTCGCTTGCTGGTTGGTCGCTTGCTGGCTGGTCGCTTGCTGGCTGGTCGCTTGCTGGCTGGT